GTGCAGCCGTTGCTGCTGGTTAGTCTCTTCAGGATGGGCCATGCTTCCAACTCTATTCAGAATAGTTTGAGTAAACTCTTGAACTACTGGTAGTCCAATGGCTTACGAAGATAGCCAATGTTAATCGCTTTTCCTCCACTAGGTAGACTGACTTCATCCAGCTAATTCCTTTCGATTGGAAGGATCTTCGTGAGCTAGATGTTTCATGCTACACTAATTCTAGATTAGCTCATGGAGGATCCCTCGTCAGTCTCTGTCTACTGATGCTCTAGTAAAGAATTGTCTGAGAGCCATTTTCCGAACCATCTTACTCACTACTTCTTGCTTTACTTGATTTTTCAAATTCTAATCAAGGCGACATATTTTTGGAATGCTCTCCCTCAGAAGGAAGGATTTCACCTAATTAGGTAAACGAGCTCATTTCTCGCCTGTATGGAACTAGACTTTTCAACTCTTTATAATTGAAGCTGCTTATCTCATACAGTGATGGTAACGGTACCCCAGAATATGGAAAATTTTAAAAATCCATGGAGCAGAAATGACATTTTTGATGCTTGACCCTGCTCTTCAGAAAAGTGTACACAAAAGTCCACGTAATGTGTATAACCATAAACTGATACAAGGTTNCCAAGACCACCCAAACTATCTGCTTGGCTTCAGTGCGTTGGAAGATAGGCACGCAAGCCAAAACAGGGCGTTTGATGGCGTCAGCTAACTATGGACTTAGCTCCAACTAATACTATTTATGAAGCTAACGAAATAAGTCTAGGGGACTCCCAAAGAGCCTGTCCATTACGCTACGATAACCTAATCGAAGGACAACTGGTAGCTTCACTGAAGCATCGTATTTGTCCTTTTTGTGTGTGAAAACATGGAACCCATAGCATGTATCTTAATAAAGGAGGAGGGATTTTCCCTTGAATCCCATTAGAAATGGGTTTGCGCCATGCCCTTGACATGATACAATTACTTCTGAAGCTATGTGCATCGCCCTTTTTCATGAGAAAGGACGGTAAGGTGTAATGGGCGTCCAATCTTGGTAAAGACCGGGGGAGTTTTCATCCAATGCTATTCCATCCACTGGAATTTCAAATTCCTAGTTGGATTCTTAGTAGAAGGGCGTTTTTCGAGAAGGGTGTTGAGTGGAGGGGACTCTGATCGACAGACTGATCAACCTGTTGTTGACACTGCTGAACATTTTTCTGTTTTGGAAATAATCCACGATGGACACCCCATTAATCTCGGCATGATTCTACTTTCGTTTTCTCAAAACTATTTCGCAGTTGACCGCAAAAAGATTAAGATTTATAGTCGTTCCGGACATTCATGAACGAATACTGTAAGCGAGAACACTCGTTCACGCTCCGCTCCGAAGTTGCGGATGTTTTTTCATGCTTGATTACCTGTTGGTTACGGCAATGGTTGTCCTATGAAATTACTGTTCAGGTTCTATACATCACTTTCCCAATTCGACGTGATAATGGCGAATTTGAAGTGATTGAAGCATGGCGTGCTCAGCACTCTGAGCACCGAACACCCACAAAAGGTGGTATCCGTTACTCAATGGATGTCTGTGAAGATGAGGTAAATGTGTTTTGAGTTGACCGAATTGCGGCTATAGTCGGCGAACTTGCAGCCAGCTGCACGATCACTGAGTATGAACAGAGCCTGAAGGTTGGGGAATTCAATTTGATTTTTTGTGCAATCTTCTATGTTCAGGTCAAAGCCTTGTCTGCTCTGATGACATACAAATGTGCGGCTGTCGATGTACCATTTGGTGGAGCTAAAGGAGGTGTCAAGATCGACCCAAAACAATATACTGACTATGAAATTGAGAAGATCACCCGACGTATTGCTATCGAATTCGCTAAGAAGGTCAGTGACCGTTTCATGCTTATCTGAGGACAATGGAATTGACAAGACGACGTTCCCAATGTTGTTTTTCTTTACTTTCGCAAAAGGTCATAACTTGATAATGCAAAGTCATTTATCAGTAACTGTAAACGGTCTCAGGAGCGAGAGGTGATGACGTTGTAAATATTAATACAAAGGGGTTGATTGGTGTGTGATTTTGATGAAAAGAGGCTAGACAAGAAAATTAGACGATTCTTTTCATTAGTTAGGTTCTTAGGTAGAGAGATCCCTTTGATTCCTATTTGTTGCGATTCATTGAAGAAAACGAATGGGTAAAGAGGAGAGCACACCAGCCAGAGGGCCGAAACTCTGATCCCTTTCACCCTCATCCTTTTATTTCCCATGGAACTGCTTTATCGGATGGGCTCAAAGGCCGTATGCCGTCTCCAAACGAATATTGATTTCACGCGCGCAAAATCGATAACTACTCTGTAACGTGCGGGCAGATGAGCTGAGATTCTTAAAGTGAAGCCTTCCCATCAGGAGTATTAGATTTCTAGCTGTTCTTCACATAATCCCAGGAAGCTGTAGGGCTATAGGAAAGATATGTGAAAAGGGTGTTCTCCCCGGACAAGTATACCTAGGACATGAAGGGTGAGAGACACTACGGAACGTAGTTGAAAGGGTTTCACTTAGTTCGGCAGGTACATCTAGTACTGGTTGTAAAGTCTATCAGAGATAACTGATCGGGGATTTTCTCTTATCCGGGATGAAGAAGCTGATGGCGCATGGTACAGAGATCGTAATCCGAGCGGTAGTCGGTAAGCCTTGGCCACTGCACAGCTTGCAATGATCTTCAAGTTGAAAGAAAAGCTCAAAAGGGGAGAAGCCCAGGTGTTGCTAGTTTCGTATTTTGTGCTAGGTTTTCAAGGCCACCCAAAGGGCCGGTTTGTGTGAGCAGCGCTGGATTACCCTCTGGAACCTCCTTATACTTCAAGCTGGGTAGGGGAATTGCTGATATAATGGCAGGAGATGTTTTATTAGAGATTTTCCACTGGGGAATACTTTTCTTCAAGTACGGGTCAACCTTTATGAAGCAAGACGGCTGGCCGGTCCCACTTCTTGATGGGAGAGCTAGTCATCGCTCAATGTTTACAACGTAAACGCACTGAATCCATCACATTTTGCAACTGAAATGACCTTCATTCAGTAAAATTGCTGTTTTTGTAAAGTACAGTACAAAAAACTGTTGATAGCCGCAGCGGAAAATGCCGAAACGTCATTCTCTTACAATCTGTCGCAATGATTTCTATCATTACAGTTTGGCGTGTTGATATAAAAAACGCCGTAAACGGAGCGTAACTGTCCGTTTATGAATGCCCATATGATCGTTCTATTATGCATTTGCCAAGTATGGAAATCAGAAATAAATCAACCAGCCAGCCAGCATGCATTTAGGGATTCCTTGGGCCCGGAGTCGATGTGCCAGCACCTGATATGGGAACTGGAGAACGTGAAATGGGATGGATTGCTGACACCTATGCACAGACCATTGGACATCTTGATAGAGTAGGTTTCCGGGCAGTAAAAAAGTTTGATGCCAATTATTTCTAAACGGGGTTGACTTAGGATGCATCCGCTTGCATCACTGGAAAACCCATTGTTGCCGGTGGTATTCATGGACGTGTATCAGCAACTGGACGAGGTGTTTGGAAGGGTCTTGAGGTGTTCACCAAAGAACCGGAGTACATGAACAAGGTCAGTATCGAATCAGTAGAGTAGCGAAGTAATACTAACGATAAACATTGGCTGTTTTGTCTGTCAGGTGGAGAAATGATACTAGTTTTTACTCATATGACCTCTGTTCAGGTTGGACTTTCACTTGGATTGGAAGGAAAGACCATTATCATTCAAGGTTTTGGTAATGTCGGACTTCACACTATGCGTTATTTGCACAGGTAGGTTTTATGGCGGTGAAAACGGTCTTTACTCCCATGGGACCTTCTCCTTTGAGCCCCATATGGGAGTAAACCCCTCTCTTTTTGGGGCCGAGGCTTCCTGCCTTATGACCCCCTTCTAAAGGGAACTCTTCCTGAGCTGAACTTACCTTCCGAACTTGTGAAGGTTAGGGCCGGAATGAGTTATTCCTTCAGGTTCATCTGGATCTCGATCTTCAACTCCTACTTCCTCTTCCTAACCCATCCCGGATCCCTTACTATTTGGAATTAGTAGTAGTCAATGTGTTCCCAAGTGATCGTATATCGACTTTGAAATAATTGAATGTCACTTTAACTCAAATGGAGGGGCCAAACCACCTTCGCACCGTGGTTTATGTATCTTTTTCATTTCACATCCGGGGAGTTGATCCATGGACCGTGCATCTGGTAGCGATGTCATTCACCGTTGTTCCATCTCGATTTCGAGTCTCCCATATACCTTGTTGTTAACTATTACCCCGTAAGTTCTATCAAGTTTCCAAAGTTAAATATGATCACGCTTACAGAGCTGGAGCCAAGGTTATCGGAGTACAAGAATGGGATTGCGCCGTTTTCAATCCTGATGGTATTCATCCCAAGGAACTCGAGGACTGGAGGGATGAGAATGGTACCATCAAGGTGAGCCATCCTCTGAAATGATGTTGGTGCCTTTGTTGGGTCTACANATTCCTGCTAAATTCTGATCTTTTACAGAACTTCCCCAAGGCCAAGAACTTCGAACCCTTCGCAGAACTCATGTATGAGCCATGCGACATTTTCGTACCAGCCGCCTGTGAAAAGGCTATTCACAAAGAGAACGCCAACAGGATCCAGGCCAAGGTTCGGGTCCCAAGTTCTAATTCACCAAGACTCCACCTACTAAAAAAAATTTCAGATCATCGCTGAGGCAGCTAATGGTCCAACCACCCCAGCCGCTGACAAGATCCTTCTTGAGCGTGGGAACTGCTTGATCATCCCTGACATGTAAGAGGCGATCGACTTGAGGGAACTAAGGCAGTCAAAAATGACCTTTTTAGGTTCATCAACTCTGGTGGTGTGACTGTGTCATACTTCGAATGGCTGAAGAACCTCAACCACGTCTCTTATGGTCGTCTTAGTTTCAAATATGAAGAAGACTCAAACAGAATGCTTTTGCGTGAGTTTTTGCTCTTTGAGCCAACTAATCAAAGGGGCAAAATTTCTAGTTTGAAAGAGACCTAGATTGAAGATTTCTGGCTGGAGACACGGTGGCCAGGTAAACCTGGGCACTAAAATATTAAATGAACTTGAAAAAAAGAGACCGCACTTTCCCATCGGAGTTAAGTCATCAAGGGAGGGACAACTTAGAAACTACCTGAAATCCTGTAAAATTAAAATTCAAAGGGAACTTAAAAGATTACATTTTTCAGAATCCGTACAAGAGTCCTTGGAGAAGGCTCTTAACAAGGAAGCTCCAGTGCATCCCAATGACGAGTTCACGGCCAGGATTGCTGGAGCAAGTGAAAAGGTAACTGCTTTCTGTTATCTGACTGAGTCGCCCGAGGTAGCTCTACATCATAGAAATCTGACACATCGTGGCAAAGAGCCAACTAGGAAACAGTTCAGGGCAAAGTGGGTTCCAGTACAAAGTGGGTACGAATGGTTTTCCTGTCTTAGAATTTGTCCCCGCCATAAGAACGGCTTTTGCCCAGGAAAACAAAAAATCAAAAAACACTTAGTAGTCCATTTCTAAAAATTGTGTACTAGGCCTGGCCTTAGCCCTATGGTACTCCAAAACTCAAAAAATAAAGAATAGTTTTGATTCTATCTAATTCAGGATATCGTACATTCCGGTCTAGAGTACACGATGACCCGCTCGGGTGAAGCCATTATTCGCACAGCCCGAAAGTACAACTTGGGCTTGGATATCCGCACAGCGGCTTATGCAAATTCTATTGAAAAAGTATATAATACCTACAGAACTGCCGGTTTCACATTTACTTAGAGTAATTGTTTTTGTTTATGACAGAGAAATAAAGATATATAAATCAAGATTTGTGAACAGAAAACAGCCGTCCTCTATTGTTGAGGTAACAGTTCAAATCAACAACTTGGGAAATGACAAAAGCCTATTCGACAAGAAAGTAACAATACAGACAGTTCAAAGTCGTTGGCTTCGGCCTTGGACGTCACTCAATATGTACTTAGTACACGGTAAACAATAGTGCGATGATATCCTCTCTTGAGGATTCAGAATACAAAATTAACCAGGGAGCTTGTAGCCCATAAAATCAACAGCGTCTTGAACCCATTGTGGAATTGGTTCCGCGGGGAAAGAATCTTTCAGAAACTTATCCAGGAACTCTTGTACTTTACCGGTATCGATGGCATCTCGAACGTCTTCCATAAGACGGAGCTGATGCCTAATGTTGTGCACGGAGACCAGATGACATCCTACTGTTTCCTAAATCTCAACTCGAATATGACTTTAATTTTTTCTAGACTCAAATTTATTAAAATTACCGTTCACGTTAGAAGCGTTTTCGAGATTTTTCCCTTTTATGAACCTGTGACGCCCGAAGATAGCCTATGGGACGCTGTCGGGTCGGAAAATGGCCAAGGTGGTCCGCATTAAAAGCTCCAGAACCGCCGCCGGGTGCATCCAAGGCGGACGAGTTCATAAGCATTGTAGAATATGTGGAGGTTGCACTACTCGCACCGGGACCACCACCATGTACGCAGGCAGCTTACTGCAGCCAGTTGTATGCAGCAGCGCGCATCCGAACAGCTCGTCCAAATACTGCTTTGCTGGTCCAACCCCCGATTTTACTTCGCCGATTTTCGGTGCAGTATTCTCCTTTTTCGTTCTACTCTGTACTATCACTTCCATTATTCGTCTAAGACGAGGTACCCTAAAATATCGTGAACTGTGCCTTCGATTATTTNGACGAGTTCATAAGCATTGTAGATGTGGAGGTTGCACTACTCGCACCGGGACCACCACCTTGTATGCGGGCAGCTTACTGCAGCCAGCTGTATGCAGTCGCACGCATTCCAACAGCTCGTCCAAATACTGCTTTGCTGGTCCAACCTCGCCGATTTTCGCGCAGTCTTCGCCTTTTTCGTTCTACTCTGTACTATCACTTCCATTATTCAATGTAAGGGTTAGTGGAGCTGGTACACGACCAAAGCGAAGATAATCGACAGTTATGAGAAGTCTTCAATAAGGGAAATACTAAATTTTGAGCTGCCCATGAGCTTCTCTACCCCCCTCCCCCTCCTCCTCCTCCTCCTCCTCTCCAACATTCCTCCCTACTACCCCACTTTGAGAGGAAAATTGCGTAGCTTCAGCGAATTCCTTACGCGGCCACGCTTTACGATAAGCGGATGGACAGACAGAAGGCGCAAAGCGGAGATAAGCATCAGAGAAACTCCTTAGAAGCTGTACCAGTCCCTTCTGTAATTAGGCATCAAATGATTCGATCAGGGAGGCACACGAGAAGATAGTGGGAATTTGAAACAAAACAAGCTGAATATAGATGTGGTGGGGATGCATTAGGAAAAAGAAACATGTATAGGCTGATCCGGGATCCGGACCGACTTTTTAGGATACGCCATGCACACGGCAGCAAATCTGTGCTCTCGTGTGTTGTATTCGAAACAGTTCTCAAAATTCGTTGGCTTGTGACGATAGATTGTATGAGCCATAATTCATCATTTCCGGGCAAACTTTGCTGGATGCATTTCTCATTATGGATGACCAAGAGGCCTATACCGCTTGAGCTGATCGGGATCCAATACTCGACAATAAGACCAAGCTTGGGGTAGCCACACCAATTCCTGCTATCAGTTCTACTGGAAGAAAACGTGGTCGAGGGAATAAACCCAATTCTCTTTCGCCACGAAATTTCGCCAAACGGCAAGTGGGAAGTATTAGCGAACAGGCCGCTGCGCGACCGCATGCTCGAATGTTACATGTTGCGGACGCGACCGCTTTTTGATATCGACTAACCTTATTTACTATCATGTGAAGATAGGCCCGCGTGTATGTCTTACACGTATTACAATCGCAATCCTCTTCAATCGGCTTAAAATCTTCGGCAAACTGCTTCTGATTCAAATGCATCAAACCTCCTCGGCCTCCTCGACGGACCAGTGCAGTGCCAAACCTGAAAACGTAGTTTCATGGGTGATTCATGACAAATGAATACGAAGGAAGAATACCTAGCCGTTCTGGTTGGGTAGACACAGTCAAACATATCGGCACCCAACAAAGAGCAGATCACCAAGTCAACAGGAAAACCAACACCCATCACGTATCGAGGAAGATGACGTGGTAATGCCTCGCAGCAAGCTGCTACGACTCGCCAGAACTGCGCTTTCTCTTCTCCTCCGGATAGACCTCCCACAGCGATACCTACCTGAACGAACTTTCAAGTTTGCCAATTACTTAGCAGAAACTAAACTGGTAACAGCTTTTGTGGTTTTAACATTGTATTTCTCACAACATTTTCCAAACTAATGGCTATTGTACCCGGCTGGCTAGCCACCCCATTCTTCACTCGAAAAGGCGTAAACTGGTTGCCAGTCTCTCCCGTGTACGCCATGCTTCTGCTTTCTTCGAAGCGTCGAATGTACTCGAACAGAATCACTACCCAGGTCGCGATAATTTCCCGTCTATGGAGAGATGATTAGAATAGTATCTCTCAAGATGGAAGCACTGAACTTATTGCAACACCTTTCAAGGAATAAGGGCTGCTACAGAATGGGCTCATGTGGTATAGAGACGAGTGGCGCGTTGCACACAAGTATGGTCCAGTGATCGAATCCCACATCGATACCCGGCTATACCAACTAGACCCTTTATCGCTTCGAGGTCTCCAGGTTCGGTTATTTGGTACCAGGCTCGTCTGGGAGGATTAAAGCAGTGATTTTTACTCCAGGCCACCGCAAATCCTTGTACAGGCCACCTCTCAAGACATCACTACATCTGATGGAAGACAAAGGAGAGGCGCATCCTACAAAACTGTTTGATTAACATCAGACATTTACCCTCCATTTTTCATACACGGGATTGATACGAACTAGAAATTTATCTAATGGCTGGCGAAGCGTTTATAATACCTTGACAAGCGGCCTAAGATTAGCACTTCAGTGACGAAAGTCTAAGGGATACTGACCTTTGCTCGTTTAGCCATCTCTTCGGTGCATATTTTGCGCAGATCAAGATCCAAACCACCCTGTACTATAGGAAAGAGCGCTTGATCCGTTCGGGTGTGCGCCTTCTCACAACGATCCAACCACCTGCATAGATCATGGTATTTCTTAAAATTACTTATTCCATAACTATTCTTACCTGACACTCCTCTCCATGGCCTCCTTGACTATGTCGCCAGTTGTGAGAACATGAACGACATGATCCAACTGCATCATAATATCGGCACCCAGAGCCTATTGTTTTTTTACTGAGTGAATGATCCTCGAAACTGTGAGGGATCACTATAAAACAAACCTGTTGTATCTCAATACTCATTTCTGGCGTCAACGACATCAACTCTCCTGTATGAGGGCTTTCAAAGTTGACGCCGTTTTCGTCCACAGACATCAGCTTACTTAATGATACCATCTGAAATATTGAAATTGAACGAGAGCGGTTGATTCTTTAAAGAGATTGAGCCAGATCTTCGTAATTTTTTTGAGTCCGATCTCCTATCTGGAAGGAGGTAGTGCAGTGGCGGGTGGCGCACCCACACATGTTCCAGGGATCGAACTTTCGATCTACTTGCCCAACCCAACCAAGCCTGCCCTCCCTCCGAGTGAGGTCAACTGGTATTAGACTTGTGTGGGAGGATAAAAGCATTGACTTGTACACTGGCTGGCCTCCGAAGCCATGTTTAGGTTATTAACGCATTAATCCTTATGATTCTGAATGTAAATTAAGGACCATGCGCATCCCCAAGCAAAATTGATTACCAATCGAGATCTTGTCCTCGGACTTAAATCCTTGCCATTTTGAAGCAGATCGCGAAGATCTGAAATTGGAGTGGCTCGGATCAACCGATGACAGTGTTACGAAAGTTTCCATGATACATGCGAGTTCAGAGAAAAAATCAGATCTCTAGATCTCTGCAGCCATCTAAGTGCCACAGCACTAAACCAGGAACCAAAATCCAGTTGGGCCCAGAAAGTAATAGGTTTCTCACTGAACTTCCACCATTTGTTGTTTCTTTTAACTTGTTGAGCAACTAGTATCATTATTCTCTTTTTCTCTTCCAGTTCCACAGGAAGTATTCATCATTCTGATCCTCGTGGTGGCTCACCTTATGCCTCGGAATCCATTGCCTTCCTTATCAGATGAAAGGAGCTCTTCATCAGGAGTCAGAAATATCATCCCCTCCCCTCCCCCATGTGTGGTTGCCCATAGCAAAGCCATTCAAACAGCATCCTAATTGGCAATGCGCCAAATGTCGCGTACGCGACACGCGCCGCAGGGTTCTCAGTTTTTATGACAGGGACAAGCTCGATTCACGTGCGAAGCGCATGAAAAGCATTGGCGATTTCTGCGAGCTTTTTGGGGAAACGAATGGGTTTCGTTCACATGCCATTCACCATATTGATTGAGAATTTTGAGGAAATTAGCATTTTCAGCCCTGCATCATTGAAATCGTGAAAAAGTGGATTCCTTATTAAAGCCATTTTCCCACGATGCTAATCCAAATATATGAAACAAAAACCATCCCGGTCAAAATCTTTAGTTCAAGACCATGATGTGATATGCAAGAAAGGGCAAATTTTTGAATTTTGAATGTAATGCTGTAAATAGCAACCTGAAATCCACCGGAATCTGTCAATATTGATCGCGGCCAATTGATCATTTTATGTAGTCCCCCGGCTTTTTGAACACGTTCATGTCCAGGTCGATGTCCAAGGTGGTATGTGTTACACAGAAGAATTCGACAATCCATAGCAATCAATTGCTCGGGTAACACACCCTGAAAATGTACCCACTTTAACAGAGAAACACATCAGTGGGTGAATCATAAATCAGCCGCAGAGACGATTACCCACGGGTAATTGTTTCCTAAGTACCCTATGTAATCGTCATCACCCTGAAACAATATGGGTTTGTTAGTCATCCTACTGTACGTCAAGATTCTGTAATGGAACATAAGACTGAATGGGCACTGGTGGAAGCAGAAATTCGAATCGAAATCATTTTAGGGAATATGAAACCTGGACCAGATGTCGTAAAAAGCAGGGACTTCCAGGGAACTTTCAGAAAAAATATTCTCAAAGCCAGCTTCGCTTAAGCCTAGCTCCAAAGATGGACCCCATTTTCAACAATGCTTCCCGAAGGGGTCTGAAAGTGGTTCAGACTTCGAAAGTGTCCCAACTTTTGAAAGTATAAGACCTAACTATCACTGTAACAGCAGTTTCCTCGGCACCGGAACACTTCAAATTCAACTACCCCATAAAAATGAAGTGTAACACAGAGCAATATGCAATCAGTTCACACCTTCATCGTTCCTTGAGTCCCCACCGGCATAAACACAGGTGTTTTGACTTCACTGTGGGGCAATGATAAGAGACCATGACGTGCTCTGCCGGTTGTACGGAGAATCTCGAACTTCATAGCTTGAGCAGGTTTAGATACCATGATTCTAAAAGTTACCTGAACACATAAAATTGAGAAGAAATAATGCTGGAATGCTACCAAGCTTTGCAACCGTTCGCGAAACCAACGAGTTCAATGGCTATCCAGCTGCTTCCAAATATGTCATATAGAGTAAACAAACGCCTACACCTTTTTTGGAACTCCTTGTACATTTAAGGACACACAAAAAGCTCATAACCAGCTTTAAATTGAAACTGGCTGTCCTGATCGAACTAAAAAATCGTCGGTATCAAAACGGAAGGCGACAAAGACCTCCAGCAAAGCGAATCCCCCAAAAACCCACCATCACAAAAAGATTAATCCTGTGAAGCGAATTCTTATAGCAGTCTTCCCAAAATGAAAAACCACTTCACAAGGGGATGTTTCTTTTTTCAGCGAAAGGTCCAACACTTGCAAACCCCAAAATTGGACCTTCGGCCACAACCATTAGGTTTCTCAAAGTTATAAACAAGAGAGGATGCACGGCATCATTCCCACAACCAAAGCATCGAAGAACTTCATGCAATGCCTTACTCCCAACTAAAAACTCACCAATTATTCATTATAACCAACGTAAACACGGTATGGGCTTTGTTCGACATCTACCGTGCTTACGGACATCATTGCGAAAACAACAACCACACATAAATCTTTACTATAATGTGAACAATCTGGAAACTATCATGTATATATGATCAGGATATAAACTATATGAACTGACTTAGATTATAAACTCCAAATCAAGTTGATACACTGACAAAACGGCTTCTACTCTCTAATTAAATACATTTGCGGACAAAATACATACAGTTTCCTAGTACTTCAATGAAAACTGTCATAGAACACTCCGAGAAATGGCATGGAATCTCGCATGCTCAGATGTTGTTTGCTTACAAGTTACAGTAACAGGAAAGCCATGTTCATTATTAATACCTGCTAAGGCATCCCTTAATCGAAATTAACTATATTAATTCATTATAAGGTCTGCCCGCATTTATTCAGCTGTCTTCGACAAGTCGAGAGCAGCATTTGGATCGCACACTTCCAAGATAGCTCTGCCTTCAACCTCAGACATTGAAAGCTGTTTCAAAACCTGCAAGAAATGCGAAGCATTAATAAAACAGCAAGACACTGTTCAGTTCAAGGAACGACCGAACAAGTTGGATCAAAGTAAAATACCTGTGATGCTTGATTAACTGGGTAGACAACATAATCTGGAGCTTCAATCTGTCCGCCAGCAATAAGATGCACCAGATTCTTCAGCTGTTCGATGCTTCCTCTGCAATGAGAATTGTGCAAAATAGAAAAAAAAACACCAGAACGAGCGTTCTTCGCAGATAAAATCAATACAACTAGAAGGAAAAAGCGATCTGAACAGAAAACTGCAAGGAACAGAACTAAATCTATACGTGATCACAAATTCAGAAGTATGTAATAATCAATTTAAAGTTCTTTGAGAATGTTCGAGGCAATTAACCTCTATGTTTGCCCATTTACTTCTACTGCTTCAGCTTCCGCGCTCATTATTATTTAAGAGCTGAATAATGGTGAGAGTGGAGGATGAGCAAGCGGCGCGCAGCCGTCATGTTTTTGGAAAAAATGGGTAATAAACCAAACTCATGATGACATTTTTCCATTTCATTGCGTCGCTGAGCAAAAAAAAAAATTGCTTGCTGCATATTTACGAGATGCAAGCCAAGGCGAGAATGGCTAAGCGGAGGACTGAGTACATACGAGGTATTTAGCTTAATGAATTGTAAATGGCTAAAAAAAAAAGTCGGGTCTGAAGGAAAATCAAATAGTTAACTACTATTGATTCATTTTCTAAACAAAGCGAAAAGGAAGGAAGCTACACTGCGACTGTATAAGTGGCCCAAATAACATGGTATATCCCGCCATCAGGTAATCAAGCCAATTCCAGGAACTCGTACAAAGTGTCCAGGTGTTCAATTTAAAGGAACGAAAGTGAAATACAAAATAGAGATAAAATAGAGATAACGAACGAAAAGGAACTGGCAATGACTGGGCCTTCCTAGCAGAGGAAACAGCTTGCAGAAAATTTGCATTTAAGAGGTAATAAGCTATGTAAAAACCTATTATTGAAATGAAAATATGAACCATAACTACCTTGTGACACCCATAATAGCAAGTCTATTCTTTGCGACGAGTTTAATTGGAAGCTGAACGTCTAATCCCGACAATCCACCAACGAACAGAACACCTCCCTGGAGAAGAATCAATTCGAAATTAACGAAAAGTTTAAGTTTTTATGGCGAGTTCGAATACCTCTGCGAGACACTTGAGCGAACGAGTAACAGTTCTTGGTGACGTAACGAAATCAAAGACAACATTAACTCCGGTTCGTGCCACATCTTTTGTACGCATGATCAAGTATTCTTCGAATTCTGTAGACACGTATTACAAATACTTCTCCGAAACTCGGGAACAAAGTACGGTGTATTACCATGACTGTGATCATTTAAAATAATAGGCTATTGCAAGGTAAAAAAAGTTACCCGAATCATCCCAATGGACCACGAAATCGGCACCATTCCTTTCAGCCAGGCACAGCCTTTCTTCCTTTGCGTCAGCAACCATTAAGCGAATTTTTCTAGAACTAAAAGATTCCACGCCTTCAAAATTAGTTGCCTCAATGCTGTATGTATAGAAGGCAAGGCATTAACCCATTTTGCCCAAAAACCATAAGTTTTATAATTATTCAGAAAGAGGCATGCGGCAGCTATACAGTAAATATCTGTCATTCTATAGTGGGCTGAATATTCCTTTGTGAATCTACAAGCACAATGGCCTTCCATCAAGTAATCTGCACTTCAGAAAACTGTTTTAGCACTACAATGCGAACAAAAATAAGGAAGAGGCAGCGCTGAGTATTTGAAGTGACGGTGTATAGTACTAATAGCGACTGAATTACAGCACCTCTGCAGCTGCTTGATTTTCAACCATCTAACGCTTTTGCTATTACCGCTTTTCGAATATGAGCCTTTCCTAAGCATGCCGATCGTCATTGGGTACAAAAAAATATTACAATTGGTTCTATAAGGGCTGCGTTATAGCAAGTCTATGAAACACACTTGTCATTATGAGCAACGAGGAAGTGTTTTGCCAATTTCAACAACCATAGTCCAAGTCCACCAGCACCAACGATCAAAATGTTGCAGAAACCTTTCGACTGTGAGAAAGCTTCGACAATTGGACGAGCCTACAAGAAATACTAAAATATAAGAAATGCCCATTGAGAACTCCAGATGTTATCAAGTGCTAAAAGACAGTACATCATATGAAGCACACCTGTAGCACAGCACTCAATGCCCATGTGGCTCCCGCCGGTAGAATTGAAGCAACGTGCATCGAAAGGGAATCAGGTATTTTCACGAGGAAATGGAGAGTAGGGACAGCGACATAATCAGCATAACCGTGACTGCACATCTCATCAGTTGGCCAGACGATAACCTGAAGAGAGAAATTGCTAGAACGGCTCCAGTTGTCTTACGACATGGCACACTAACCTTATCGCCGATTTTTAGATCATACTCTTCAGGGGTGGACTCTGTACCGAAGGATTCTACGACGCCAGAAACCTCATATCCTGTAAGATAAAATCGTTCACGAAATGCATAATTGAACTGACCAATTTCCAACTACCATCTTTCACCCACAAGGCTCATCGCAAAGCCTGAATGAGCAGCCTTTTAGGTTAGCTCAGCCTGGATTTTTGTCCATGACCCTTTTCACGCTTCATATATAAAACGGCATCGAGTTGTGTGTTTTGAAATTCGTGAAACATTTCTTTCGAGAGATTCTGCGCCTATTGCATTTCATTTCATAATTAAAGTCATTCTACTCACATGGACTTTATTGCTCTCACTCTAGCAAAGAAGCTTATCCTTATGTCTGTAGGGTTCCTTTACCCACTAATTCTGGCGCACTTTTTAGCTGTTCTGCCTTCCAGCAAACAATTCATTCGTTACGAGCAACCACAACGAACTCGACCAAAAACTTAGACTATATCAGTATCGTGGCTGCAGCAGAAGAATCATTTCTCAGAAGCAGGGCAATGCAAAGCCCTATTTTTCACTTCCACACAAAGTTTGGTATCCATGAACCGATTGGTGGCGATATCTTTTGCAAAGCAGTCTGCACAGATGTCGGATGTATGAGGGCAAAAAGAAAGAGGCACTCTAAGAACGCGAGCGATCAAGCGAACGAATGCACTCCGCGCTCAAACATTTGATGTCACTAATCAATGAAGATGAAGATGAGCGGTAAAACAGAACGGCAAACAGAGCACAGAAGATTATGATGTCAGCAGGATTAATGCAAATCTGTCACTTCTCAGCTCGCACATTCGAGCTGAAATGATTGAAAAAGCAACTAAGCACCTCTTTTCCCACTCAAAGAAATAAATCTTCCCATTTTCGAAAAGCAAATCTTACGAAGGAAGGAAACTCTTTGATGAAATCAATATTTCTTTTCATTTCGAGCACAGCAAACCTTGTATCCGAAATTCGTTAGGATATTGAAGAAGTATTGAATTCATCCCACCTCACCTAAAAAAGCAACCCGCATTTCGGGGCTCACATGATTAACCCGAATTTACTAACCCAGACCTACTGCTAATTCAGCTCCATTTTCATTTTCAGAAAGCTTTCATGCAAGAGCAATCAAAAATATTTCCCATATGCGCATCTAAAAACAGGTTTGCCAACGAAATGGAAGGTCCTCACACTGATTTATAGCATATAATTATATGTGCACGAGTCAGAACTGCCATATGTCAAACGGTTTGGGAAGCATTCCACAAAATCATAAGTGAGAAGTTCGAATAAAACTAACCCGGAAACAGGCTGGTATCTTTGATTCCATTCGTCACTCTTGCCTGTTTTGTGTTTGTTACTTCACGATCAGTAAGACATACACCAGCGTAGCACACCTAAAAATTACGAAGCCTATTATTGGGGACATCTGACTGGAGTAACATGAAGAGCATGCGTCGAAACACAAACCTTCACTCTCGCTCCTTTTGGAGGGACATCAGGAATAGGTTCTTCATCGAAAAACTTCACTTCTTTGAGATCTTTAGGTGATCCAAGTGAAATGCGTCTATTCCTTGCTACTGACATACCTATAAAAAATTGGTGAGACATTCAACATTAATTACCGAACAAATGAATAAGCGAGAACTAGTACAGTACAAATGTTTTGTCGGTGGAAGTAATGAATACGTCTTCGAGAAACTAGATGAACAATCGGACAGAAGAAATCTCATTAAAAGCTCGGGATATTTACACGATGCGCGGTGACATCAAAATCTTACAGTAATCCAACGTAGCTGTAGAGAAACAAGTAAAACAACGAAAATTTGATTTCAACCAAGTCACGAGCGCACGATCGACCGCAGCTGTCGGAAGGAGGAGCAAAGCGAGGGCCATCGAAGAACTCTCTCCTCTGACGACAGCTTGTCAGGTGCTGAAACCCAATAAGCGCCAGCACGTGCCGAAACTGACGCAGTTCACGTGCACTGGCAAGCGGGGGGTAATTCATGGAGGCGGTTTCGAGATTAACTGCTTAAAAGGGTCTGGGCAAGTGCTTTTCAATGATGGAGTTGGATTGTCGATTGGTAAATTCATCGAGAGCTAATCTCGTGAAGCAGTTTGAACCGAAGTAGAGGGGAGACTAGAGAGAACCCGATAATGGAGGGTTAATCCAAATTCTGGGCTAAACGACCGCTTAAAACAGGGCGAATCGGCAAGTTGTAAATAGGGGCGCGAATGTTTGATGGGAGAGCCTTCTGGCCATAAAAGTAGTTCCGACGAAACGTTTCTGTTCAAGCGCTAAACTTCAGAAAAGCAAGAAAGCTAGGTTACAGGAAGTCGGCCTAACCTATAGCGTCATGACCTTTACGCAATAGGTTAGGCCTACTTCCTGTAACGTAGCTTTCCCACTTAGCCATGGTGGCTTTACTGAACCCAACTTTGTGGATACCTCACATGTGCACTGACGAACAACTTTGAGTTCAAGTGAAGGCTTCACAGGAAATCCAACTTCGTAAGTTTAAGGCTGTAAGATTGCAAAGACTTGCCCCGTCCCGAAAGATGGTATCAACTAGAAACGTAACCTATTCACGGAGAGTAGTGGTCAAGTTATTCTGTACATGACCTGAAGGGGGACGGAACATTCACCCAAAACTGGATGGACGCGGCGAAATTCGTGGTGATTAAAACGACTCTGGCGCCAATCATTGGGGCACAAATTTGAAGTGGGATAGATAAATAGCATCAGTTAGCCCTGCTTGTCCAATTTACTTGAAACCCGTACCCCAATGATATGCGCCAAAGCGGTTTTGATCATCAAGAATTCCGCCGCGCGGTTTGCCGCGTCCATCCAGTTCTGGGTGAATGTACCCATACCCGACCTGAAAACCGTTAATCAGGCTGTTCGTAGTGTAAAAGTGCAAAGGACGCTACATTCTCAGACAACGTACTACCGTTTTTCACTAAACTCCATATGAACCTAAAAGCCTTCAAACCATCACATGTAAGACGCGGTGGGGTGACGAAAGAATTACGATGCATTACTATCAGATTTGAATGAGGGCTTTCTTGGCGACCAGGCACAACCGTAGTATCTACATAAGAATGTTCCCACTGTTTTGGGTACCCTGAAGAGCCGGCTATAGTGCTTCGCTACGTCGTAGGCTTCGAGCAAGGTTCCTCAGCTTTCGCCCTCACTGAATTCTGCCTTTCGATTTCTTGAAGAAGGTTGGTAATTTGAGAATGAACAAAGGGACCATAAAAGCAAAGTGGTCGTGAAATTGTGTGGGTGAGAACGAACGGTTGAGATGAAGTTCTCCTTCAAGAGTAATGTGTGACAAAGAGCTCCACTCGTGCTGAGAATGCTCAACGCTCTTGATTCTCAGCTCTTTGAAAATTTCTTATAATGATTTGAAAAGGTGGTCGTGATTACTGACATCCTCTCGGGTTCGCAGGCCCGAGAAAAGGTGAGTTGGCCGAAGCGTCGGCCACCAGGAAAGAACCCGATATCGACCCGGAGGGGTTCAGCCAAAACCAACAGCAGAAGATTTCACTTCCAAGAGTTCTTTAATTGTGTTCTAGGTTGTGCCACGAGAAGGTTGAGCGCAACTTTTTTTTGCGTGAGATGCTTCACTTTCCCAAGAACAGGACAGGACCAGCAGCATCGTCCTGCTGTAGAAATCTGGGATCCGAAACCTTAGATCCCAAGGCTTAGATAGCGATGGAGACGACAAAACGCTCGTTTAAACAAGAAATATTTCAAACTGGAATCTTTCAAACTGCAAAAATAGAACCGTATCAATAACAACTCTACTTTGGCTTCTAATACAACGAGGATTTTCATAGTGTGGAATTTAAAGTTTCTATTTACTTGAAACACTGTTTTTCACTTCCACCTTGAAAATGACGATTTCATTTCTAGAAGCTGGGCTACCGCCATACCTGACTAGCAGCAAAAAAAAAACAGGCAGTGTGCTAGGTTTCACGTTGAAAAAAAACGGAGAGAACATCCACCTAGAGCAGCCATGCCCTCGCTCTGCTCTGCCATCCTCTTTCTCTCCTTGAAACCATAAACCCGGGTTTTTGCAGCAGGTTGGCAGCCGTTTCGCCCTTCAGTAGGGAAGTCACCCGACGATTCACTTCAACCGAAGATTCACTAATGAATCTCAAAGAGTTGCCAAAGAGGGTATTCATAAGGTTCGAGGGTTAGGGATTCAGGAGGTCGCAAGTTGTAACTCCTTAAAGTGGACATCTCAATTTCTGTGGTTAAAGGCACAGTTCACGATAAATAGTTTCTAAGTTCTCCCTTTAGGAACACCTAGTGGCCAAAAAGGGTAAAAGGAAGCCTGCTGTCGGGCCCAAAAACTAAACCAACTAGGGTGTAGTGGAAGCTCAGAAGGCCAAGTGGAAGTTCGATAATGGTAATGCACTCGATAAACAGCTTGGCAAGAAAAAAGCTAAACGATTTTTGAAGAAAAAAATGGAAATGGAAATGATTCTCTCAGGAGCTGGGAAGGTGAAATCACTGTTTCGAATCTTTGTTGATAACGGATTGAAAACGATACGTCACTTGACATTCACGAGGAAATACCCGTGCACGAGCCGCAGCAGCAGACAAAAGACTCCCGAACACATTAAAAAGGGGGGACGGAATGAGGGCGTGGGTGGTTTAACGGTTGCTTGCTCAGGAACAGCACGGAGGAACAGCCTTGACCAAGGATCTCTCCTCTACTAAGTGTATGAGTCAGATGGCCCTGGAATGTTTTAAAACAGGAGGAGCATAGTGGTTGTTTGTTTGTTTGTTTACACAATCGGTCAAGATCTCGATTCCTGCTATCATAGACTACGCTTGCAAAGCTCTTTGGAAAATTTGCCGGTGTCAGCAGTAGGCCTACGTCAGATATTATAAAAACAAAGTCTTTGGCATTGCCCAGTCCCGTTCTTTGGCGTTAAACAATCCAATTTTTGGGATGCGCCTTGCATTCGCCTTCCACTCAGATTCGAAGTGGCGTATGGAATGCGTATGTGGCCTATACACTGACTCATGGTGACCAGGCAATTTCTAGGCCAGTGCCTCTCGCCTCCTGGACGAATCTACAATCATTCCCGAAGGGATGGAAGGCTTGTTTCACTCTGGCGAGTTGGGATTCGGTCCCGGACCATGCGCTGTTTGCAACTACACAACGGGTCCGGGAACTTCTCCCCTAACACGGCGTCGCACACGCCGCACCCGTCGCCTATCGCAGGATTGCGATGAAAGATTGGAGCGCGCAATTTGTGAGGTAGGGAGTCCTTTAATCATTTGAATTGGCTGGTCGCTCCCTTCAACTTCAATGCGGTATTGATCGTCGTTTATATAAGAGGAGTCATTTTAATTAATCAAGTCTAATAAACATGAAAACTAAAAAGAAACAGGAGAAAAACGATAAAATCCAATGAAAAAGCAAGCCAGGCAAGGAAAAATATCGCGTCCTATCGATTTTCGGGAGGCGGGGTGAGTATGGTAATTGCAGGGACATTTGCCGCATGCCGCAAGGGAGAATGCCGCGATAGGGGAGAAGTTCCGTTACCCCTACACAACATCTACCCCGTCCCATGTAGACGGATCGAATCTTTCAAGAAATAGTCCCAAACTTTTGAGTCAAACCACAAAATCAGTGGCAAGGCGAGAAAGTCATCTACAAGACCTGCAGGACCCTTATCTGAGTACGTCCGTCACCGTGTAGGAGCTGTTGAGAAGTGAATGACCACGGGTAAAAACCCACAACGCGATTTGTAACATACTCCTGCTCAAAAGCAAGTTGAAATCAATCCACATTAAAGTATATATGGGTATAACTGCTCGAAATATCTCAGTTGACGAGATTTTTTCAAAATCGGTGAGGAAAAATAAATAAAACTCGGCACACACTAAACAAATTTGCGATCGTTGCTTAATTACAAACAAGCTACAAAATCTAAACAACATTATCATGGAAACAAACTAACTAGAAGGCATTTCTCATAGTTAGTCGGTCTTTCATGTTTTATGATGGGCTCGGGAGTGCGACTTGTCATCGATTCCATCAGCTGATTCAACAGTTGTTGATCCAAGTGACCGTATGTCTGGCTCGTTGCAGTCGGAGGCTCGCAGCGATAGCAGACCGACTTACCGCAATAGTCTCCTTTAGGTAAGCTGCCAACAAATAGGTTCAAAATCTTAGGAATAACAGCCCGTTTCAGATATCTAACGGCCTTTTGGTGGTAGTGCTCACGTCAATAGCCGCATTCTCCGGTTAGAAAAAACCGAATCGGCATTTGCCGTCCTACGCCATCGAAGTTAAATATTACTTAAAGAGTAGATTTCGAGAGTTCATACACGTGTAGGTGAGATGTATCAAGCTTCTGGTTTCAGTGAAATGCTCTTAGGTCATAAGGAAACGACGACTTGATGTACACCCGCTGAAGTGTTCTGAATTTTGCAAAAATTTTCCTTCAAAAACCGTACCCACCCAAATCAACCAGGCCGAAAATCTCCAATTTCAAAAATAATACAAAGCAAAAAGAGCTGATGAAGGCAATCTTACAAGAGAGGAGCAGTCATCGGGCCTATTCGTTGTCATGTCTCAGTTAGC